GCCACGGCTCAAACCACAACCAGCTGCCTGGATGCCAAAGAGGGTGGGAGGCTTCTTACAGCTAAGTCTGAATCAACACGCGAGACATCCTCCCCTCCCACCCACGGCTGACCTTGGCAGTGGGTGTAGGCTGTGGCCCATAGAGCTCGCTGATAATAAGGGTGGATATCTCATTCCTCCACAGGGTGACTACCACATTAGGGCTTTGCCACCCGTGTTGGCACAGTACTTGTCTGGCAGCTGTCAGAACCCAGCCCTGTACAGGTGTCACCAGGACCCTGATAGTAGCCATAATCTGCTCTTAGCACCAGGTCGGTGCCATCTGGAAATGGCTCTCCTTTCCTGGCCGTATTGGAGGCAGAGCCAATGAAACATCTGTTCCTGTGTTTCTGCCACCATCCTGCTCAGCACCCACAGTTCTATTAGTCATGCCTTTGGGTTACTAAAGGCCCTTGGGAGATCACCTGGGAGTTGGCTGGTGATTCCCTTCATTTGTCTGTGCCTAGTGAATGGGGGTAGGTGGGGCTAGGAAGAGAGTGATGTAGAGAAATGGGAGGTTGGGCTGTGTTTTGTTTTTTCTTCTCACAGCAGTGTGGTTCTAGAGAGATGCGATGGCATGATGGGTACCCAAGTCTGAGACTCAACTAAGTATTTGCCCTTGGGCCAGTGGCACAGCCTCCCTAACCTCTGAGTCTCCTAGCTTGGTGGCTGTTTGGATACCTTCTCCATGTGTATAGTGTGAGATTCCAAGGGGCGGAAAGACTGCAGGTGACTCCTGAGCACCACAGGGCTCTTCATTCTTTCCTCTGCAGTGTATGGTCAGGTGAGGTTGGGAGTGGGCCTGCAAATGCAAATGGACACAAGTGTGGGAGGAGGTCCCTGCCGGGTATGGCTGGGTCTCCAGTCTGTGGTTGGCCAGGCTCCTGCTCCTTCCCCTTGGCGACTTTGACTCAGGCATTCCTTACTGGGATGCCCACATTCTTGCCATTCTCTGCCCACTTTCCAAGGGCTTTTGGAGGTTAGCATTCAAGGCTGATGGGTTCAGTGGGTCAGGGACCAGCCCTTGTTGTTCCATTTGTGGACAGTGGCCCTCATTCCACCCTTCCCAGCCTCCCTCCCTCTTTCACAAGCATCCAGGCTATGGGGAATGACAGGACCAGATGGCAACAGCATCCAGAGTGAATGAGAGGAGGGCAGATCCTTCGTTAGGCAGGAATGCTTTGAGAAAACCAACCGTTTCCCAAGGAAAACATCATTCCTTCCTACAGTCAGTTGGGACAGTGACAGGAGGGTGGCTCCCAAAAAAATCAAGCCTGATTCCCATCCCCCGACAGAATCAAGGCTTCATGGGCACCCTGGCAGGGTGGCAGGGGTGGTGTACCTGTATGGGCCCCCGTCCATCTTCCCAACACTTACATTTGGTTAGAACTAGGGCTGGGTTTGTGAACCCTATACTGTGAGGAGGCGGGGGACTCGGGAACCAACTAGGTTGGGACAGCCTGGGAATGTTCTTGCTCTGCTCAGGACAGCCAGGATTGGCTCTGAATCACTTGGGGGTGTGCCTAGCCTGCCTGGAGGCCATGTCCTCTTTGTGTGCCCCTAGCCCCCTCCCCTGCCCGAACCCCTGGTTATTCTGGGAGCTTTTAGCTACCACTTAGTCAGCCACTAATGCGTCAGGCCTGGGAGTGAGGGGGGAAGACACGGTGCCAGACGGTGCTCCTTTTAGACACGCGGGATGGAAAGGAAGCAGGGGGAGCCAGGAGGTGGGAGGTGGGGGACTGCCAGAGAATGGGAGACATTCCCACTCCTGGCCCTGCTCCTTGGTAGCAGGCAGCAAGGGAGGCTGATGGGGAGTGGGTCAGTGTGTCCTTGGCTTAGCTGGGCCTAGCTGGGCCTCCCTTGCCCCTCCACTGAGGCCTAACCTGGATTCTTCTTTCATTAGTTGTCTGTCAGGTGGCAGCGTGTGGCTTCTGTCCTCTGTACCACACTGTCAGCTTCCTCATCTTGCTCACCGTTTCTCCTCTGAGTGTGTATCCCTTCCCAATTTCTGGCCAGTCAAGCTTTCATCTTTGGATTCACAAGACAGCAAAAAGAAAGTGTTTAAGGATGTAAACACTGAGCCTAACCCTTTTAAAGGTAGACTCCAGTTTGCTCAGCCCCTGCCTAGGCAGGTCCTTGAGTCTCTCCCTGCCCCTGGCTCACCTTTCTCTGAGGTGATCCCGGCCATGAGGACATGCTGCTTGCTGCCTTCACTTCCAGGCAGCCCTCCTGCCCAGAGCCCCCAGCCCCCGCTCCTGCTGACCTGAACAAAGCTTTCTTTCATGTATTCATGGAGCTGCTGCTCTGACACTTCCAGGGTACAATCAGGCCCTTTGAGGGCCTCGGGCAGTGCGGGAGCCTGGGCTGGGGCCGGGGTGGAGAATGGGCCAAGGTCTTGTCCTGGGGCTGAGCTGGTGCCATCCTCTTCCTCCCCCAGTCCATAACACATCGCCAGGCACAGATCTGGGTGGGGGGGGACAGGAACTTGAGAGTCATGGGAGGGCTGGTGAGTGTTGTGGGAGAGCTTAGGAGCTTCTGTTTGTTCTGCAAAATGGGGCCAGTAGTCCCTGCCTTCCCCCACACTGACCTTGCCAGGGTTTGAGTGAACAGGCTTGCAGACCAGCGGAGTGCTGTGCCTACTCGGCTGCTGACACTCTGCCCTGCCCTTCGTAACTTCTGTGTGTCTTTTGGGAGCACCTCTGAGCTCACTCCTGGGACCATGTGCTTAGTGGGTTTTCTGTGGTGTGGATGCTTCATATCTACACTTCTGAGAAGAGCCAGGCACCCCGAGACATTGTCCTTACTGCCTCCACACTCAGGCCTGGCTCTTTCAGGACTGTGCTTTGACAGCCCTGCTACCTCCAAGACAAAGGCTCCACCCGTGGTCTCCTTTGGTGCCTTTTCCTGCTTGAGTTGACTTATATATTAGCCTTGTCTGACCTTTCTCTGAGGCCTGGGATTGCGACCTTGATCCAGGTGCTCAGAGCTAAGGAGACTGGTTGGTGGAAGTGGCTAACACAGCCTGTGAGTGTTTGTTTTCCTTGGCTTTGGGGCTGTGGGTCTCAGTAGCCCAACATCCCCAAGTGCAGACCTGGACCTTTCCCCTGGCTCCTGGTCTGGATGCTCAGGAAGTGGAAGGGAAGGTGTGCTGCCCGGGGCCTGCTGCTCAGGTTGCTGCTCAGGCTATGGGTGAAAGGAGAGCAGTGAGTCAGAGAGACTAAGTATCGGACAGCTGCTGATCCCAGCTTTACAGTTTTATCCCAGCTGGAAGAGAGCTAGAGGACAGTACCCAGGCCCAGCCACCATTAAGCACCTCTGTGCAGACATCATCACAGAGCTGGGCTCACAGTCTCTGCCCTGCACATCTGGGGCTAACAAGAGGCAGCTCTGGGGTCTAGGGCATAAGAGGTGGGGTGTGTGACACTACTCCCCCCACCCCCCACCCCCGCAATTCCCACCTGCATTGCTGGATAGCGCTGTTTGTGGCATGTCCCCAGGAGAGCCAGGCCAGTCAGAGGGCAGCAGACTCAGCACTTCACTTCGTAGCCAGCTGGGCTCACATCTCCAGGAATGTTCTTGAGAACTGATACTGTCTGGATGAACCAATCTGCCCTGCTTGCTGGTGTGACCTTGGGCCAGGCTTGCCCCTGGGAGGCCTCCGATTCCTCCTCTAAACAGTGAGCCAGGCCAGAGCAGAGAGGCAGAACTTGAATCTCTCCCACTGCCTGTCTGGGATCACTTGGCTGTGGAGAAGTGTGTGTTCAGGAAAGGGAATGAAGGAAAGGGTCCAATGCTGTATGCTCTTGCCATTCCTTGCCCCCCCCTCCCCCGATGGATTCAGGATCAGTAGGAATGACTTACGTGGCAGCAGGGAGGATTCAGGATAGACCTTTAGGGCAGGTTTGTTTTTTCTTGGACTGGGTCATGTCCTGCTTGGGTGTTACTGCCAAACTGGCTGTCCCAAAGTTTGCAACAGCTGAAAAAACAGTGGTTAGACCCGATTCCGGGGTGAGGCCCAGGCTAATCAGAGGTGAGGGGACAGAGGCTGTGGTTGAGTGCCCAGGGCATAGCCATAGGCCATCCCATCCCTGTAATTTAGTCGGGACAACCTCAATAATGTCTCTAGAGATGAGACAGCTTCTCTGTGGAGGTGGCGGCTGCAGACAGTTTCTTTTTTGGGCAAAACTGCTCCGGTCAGCCTTTCTGCTGAAAGGCATAGGCTATGCTTTTTGTAGGTCCCCTGTCCCAGAGTTGCTGGAACAGAGAGCTGATTCTGAGCCCCAAAAGGAGCTGGCATCTGGGTGGATGAAACCAGGCTAGAGGTTAGCTGGGGAGACAGAGAGGAGTGTTGGTTTAGGGCCTACTAGGCACCGCTTTCATGCGTTCTTGGGCTGTCTGTCCCTGGACCTGTTTTCCCAGCTGTGTAATGGGAAGGAATGGATGTTGGATGGAAAGGTGCCCACCAAGGAGCTGGGTAAACCAGGAGGATTGGAGACGACAACTCAGAGGAAGATTTGGAGTTGTTAATAAAATGGTTGCCTGGGGACTCAGACCCTCACTGTAGAGTTTAGAGGCCCTGCTGTACGCTTCTGGCAAGGCTGAGTGAGATGGACCAGACTATAGATCCCCTCACAGTACAGAGCTGATGGTCCTTCTATACCTGCGCAGCTCCCCAGGAATGTGTGTATGTTTGGGAAAGGGGTCTGTTCTCCCTGGGGTCCCTAAAATGTTCCTCACTCTGAGAAAACGCACATTGTAGGGCAGGGACCATGGCTTTGGGTGTGGGCGGGTGGTTTCTGGAGCCCACCAGGGCATTTTTTACTTCTCGGGCTCACCTAAACCAGATCTTGACTCTGAGCCTCGGGGCCCTGCGCTTGGAGCGTTAGCCAGCAGAGTCTGTATGCCTGTGGAAGCTCATGGGTCCTCTTGTTCAGAGTGTTTCTCTCCTTCATGCTGCACAGGGCAGGACCATGTGGACTTCGGCCAGCCTGAGCCACACACCGTGCTTTTCCATGAGCCGGGCAGCCCCTCTGTGTGGGTGGGTGGACGTGGCAAGGTCTACCTCTTCAACTTCCCCGAGGGCAAGAATGCCTCTGTGCGCACGGTGAGCTTGGGCCTCCTCTGCCCTCTCCTCCTCTTTCCTCGTCCCTGACTTCTGGTCCTGGTAAGGGCTCTTAGGGACATCTTTCTGCTCAGGTCCTTCTATCTCCATCACCTCTCGCACAGTTCTGGGGGGAGGCTTCTACAGGTAGTCCACGTTGGACTAGAGAGTCAGGTTATGAGGAGAAAAACTGGGAGCTAACACACGTGGCCAGACAGGTAGTGTTGATGGGGGAAGCCAGGCAGGGAAGCTGGATTTCAGAACCCATAGCCTGCCTTTCGCAATTGCTAGGCTCTGCTCCTGCTATCAGACAAAGAGCCTAAGTGACCTTGGAAAATCTGCTTACCCTCTCCAAGTCTCAATTTACTTCCATGGAAGATGAGAATAATAGTCTCATCCAGGGCTTGTCCTGTGAATGCATGGGCATCATTCCGGGGACATCTCAATCTCATCCCTCGAAGAGGGACTGAAGCTTCTCCTCCTCCTCCAGGTGAACATTGGCTCCACAAAGGGGTCCTGCCAGGACAAACAGGTGAGCGCAGGGGTGGGAGGGGGAGGGTGGGGAGGAGGGAAGACCATGGAAAAGGGCAGGCCCCTTGGGAAGAGGCAGAAGATCCTGAGAGAGGGGGGGGAGAGAGGGAGGGAGGGAACATGGCTTTGCCTCATTTTCTCCAGACTTATGGGGTTAGGGGAGTTTGGGCTGGTCTCAGGACCCCTTCTCACTGGGGGAGACATAGGCCCCTGACATGGGCCCTGTTCACACAGGATATCAGCTGTCCTGGGTGGCTGCTATCAACCTCTTTGGATGTCTGCTTTCTAAGACTGAGGGTTTTAGTGTCTGCTGGAACTTCCAGGAGCTCCCACCTTTCTAACAGTCCCCTTCTCCACACAGGACTGTGAGAACTATATCACTCTTCTAGAGAGACGGGGTAACAGACTGTTGGTTTGTGGCACCAATGCCCGGAAGCCCAGCTGCTGGAACTTGGTGAGAACCCTTCCCATGTGCCTGAGCAGCCCTCATTTCCTGGTGGGCCTCAGCCCCTCGTGGCCAGACAGATGGGAGATTCTGAGACTGGCATTACCCTGAACAGAATCTCTGGGAGAGTAGGCTCCTGGCTGGAAAACTGGTCCTTGTAGGGTGCAGTGGCTGGTGCCATATGGCCATCTGCACCTCTGATCTCCTCCAGGTGAATGACAGTGTGGTGATGTCACTTGGTGAGATGAAAGGCTATGCCCCCTTCAGCCCGGATGAGAACTCCCTGGTTCTGTTTGAAGGTAGAGCAGCTGCAGGGATCCTGGGAGGGTGCTGCTGAGCCAGGCTCGGGATAGGAGGGTCAGCCCCTTGCTCAGGGGCCCGAGCCTGGGGAAGGACTTACAGAAGTTGTTGCTCTTATTCACATGTTGTCCTACACTCCCAGGGGATGAAGTGTACTCTACCATTCGGAAGCAGGAATACAACGGGAAGATCCCTCGGTTCCGCCGCATCCGGGGCGAGAGTGAGCTGTATACAAGTGATACTGTCATGCAAAGTGAGTCGGGTGGACTAAGGGGTGTGAATGTCCAGGATGGCAGATAGTATCTAGATGTATCCCAGGAGGGCTCCCTGAAAGGTATAGACCTGAACAGCCAGCACTGAGGAGTTTGAGTTGTGGGAGAGGAGGAACCACAGAGAAAAGGGTGTGCAGGCCAGATGGGTCTGAATTACTCTGGGAGCAAACACAGAGGCTCACAGAGCCAAAGTTCATCTTTCTCATGAGCCCATGTGGGGCAGACGGCCCCATCTTCCTCATTAAGGCTCTGTTGATTAGGGAGAAGTGACATGGGCACCCCAGGGGCTTTCCTGCAGTCCCCAGGCATGAAGTCATTGCTCCTGGGCCCATGACATCTTTGTAGAAGAGGACATAACAGGTGTGGGGTATTGCTTTAGAGTTGAGGGCCCCCTGGGGCCTTAAGTGCTGTTCTGAGTTCATATATATTTGGAGAGGTGTGCAAGGTTGAATGGGTACCCTACACAAGTCTCTAGCCTCATACCCTATCGCCTGTGCCCTTGGCAGACCCACAGTTCATCAAGGCCACCATTGTACACCAAGACCAAGCCTATGATGACAAGATCTACTACTTCTTCCGGGAGGACAATCCTGACAAGAACCCAGAGGCTCCTCTCAATGTGTCCCGAGTGGCCCAATTGTGCAGGGTGAGCCAGATATGTGAGGGGTGGCTGGGTGAGTGAGGATGTGTCTGTATATTTACAATACGAGAGTGTGTGTGTGTGTGTGTGTGTGTGTGTGTGTGTGTGTGTTCGTGAAACTGTGGCCAGTGTGTGTGCACAGGCACACCTGTAAATAGATGTGGTTTAGCATCTATGCATATTGAATGTACAAACATGTGAGTACATAAGTACCTCTGTTGAGTTTGTGTGAATTTGCTATATTATATGTTTGTGTACAAGTGTGCATAGATGTGTGATCTTGTCTGCCTTGGGGGACTGAGAATGTTTATCTACAGGGCCCTAGTGTGGGTTCTGGCACACCAGACTGGAGCCTACCTGAAAGCTTGCCTAAGTTTTCACAGATATCAGCCCCTGGTAACCTGCCATGCTCCTCAGAAGCCTAGATGCTGACATGCCCAGCAGCAGGTGCCTCTGGTGTGTCAGGCAGCCCAAGCAGGTGCTGAGGGGCTTCTTCTGCTTTTTACCCTTCCAGGGGGACCAGGGTGGTGAGAGTTCATTGTCTGTCTCCAAGTGGAACACCTTCCTGAAAGCCATGCTGGTGTGTAGTGACGCAGCCACCAACAGGAACTTCAATCGGCTGCAGGATGTCTTCCTGCTCCCTGACCCTAGTGGTCAATGGAGAGACACCAGGGTCTATGGTGTTTTCTCCAACCCCTGGTGAGGAATAGTTAATGACATTAGCAGAGACTGCGGGTGTAAGGCTTGAGCTGTTAATAGGTGTGTGTGGTGGTGGCGGCGGCAGTGGACAATGTGATGTGTGTCCTCTTGTATTTTTGCCTCTGTACACATGGTGTGTGACCCTGGGCTCTTTGTGCATTCCTGCCTATGTGTCCTGCCATGTGTGTGCCCAAAGCTGATACTAGGACTGAGAAAGGCTGAGAGGCCTCTCCTGGGGTGCTGGGTGTGATCACACTTGCTCAAACACTGCCTGATAATTTACACTCTTTAATCACTTTCATTGATTGAAAACAAAGCAGACAAGTGTCGGGGGTGGAAAAGGACCCTGCTCTGGCTTCTGCGTAGATGGAGCTGCACACATCCTGGTCAGGACATGCAGGTCTGGGCTCCTAAGGCTTCAGCACCCTGCAGCCTGTGACTGGAGAGCCCAGAGAATGACTCAGCCCATGAGGGGGTTCTGCTTTCTTTAGGTCGAGTGGAACAGGTGGCCTCTGAACTCAACGATGCTGTAACAGAACCCAAGGTTGTGGTTTTAGATTGCACTGGAGAGAGCTTAGTTGAGCTTCCCTCCCTCCTATTGTTCCTCCCCTGTTTCAGCTTTGTTTGATATGCAGGGCACTGGGCTCTGCTTTAGTAATAGTCCTTGCTCACAGAGCTTGTAGGCAGAGGACTGTGGTTGTGCCCTGTCTGGAATGGGACTGACCAGGTTAAGTGGAGGTGGTGTATCCTGGGCCCCCTACTAAGTTGGTTTGTGTATCCTTGCAGGAACTACTCAGCTGTTTGTGTATATTCGCTTGGTGACATTGACAGAGTCTTCCGTACCTCTTCCCTCAAGGGCTATCACATGGGCCTTCCCAACCCTCGACCTGGCATGGTGAGCTGTTGACCAACCATGGACCAGACCCCAGCTCTTCCTGGTCTCACCTCCCAGTCACCTACTAACCTACTTCTTTTCTCTTTCCCAGTGCCTCCCAAAAAAGCAACCCATACCCACAGAAACCTTCCAGGTGGCCGATAGTCACCCAGAGGTATCACAGAGGGTGGAGCCCATGGGGCCACTGAAGACACCATTGTTCCACTCTAAATACCATTACCAGAAAGTGGTCGTCCATCGCATGCAAGCCAGCAATGGAAATACCTTTCATATCCTTTACCTAACCACAGGTAATGGGCTATCCCAGAACTTTCTGATTTACTTTGCAAACATAGATGTGAACCATTCTCTGTTTGTTATGGTGCATGCCTTTAATTTCACCATTCAAGAGGCAGAGGTAGGCAGATCTCAGTGAGTTCAAGGCCACCTTGGTCTACATAACAAATTTCAGACCATCCAAGGCTATACAGTAAGACCCTGTTTCAAAAAACAAAACAAAGCAAACAAAATATATAGAAGGTATAAGGAACTCCTGAAGGTAATATCTGCTTGGGCATTTAGGTGTAGGCAGAACATTGAGTGGATAGAGCTGTCGGGTCAGTATGTGGAACGGTGGGTGCTCGGGCAGAGAGGGGGGGGGGCTTTCTGGAGGAGGTGAGGCAAAGGGAAAAGGGAAAATACCCTGACTTGAGAGAACATGCACTAGAGCTCAAGGCAGAAATGGGGTGAATGAGTGAAGCCAGGTGTCTCTCTCAATGGAGAAGGCACAGGAAGAGACATGGAAAGCTGGGGGGGCGGGGGGCGAGTGAGGGGAGGGGCTTGAGCACCAAGGCTCCTGGGGGCCTCTGCCTTGCAGAATAAGGACCATGGCCTTCCATTAGACTTTGGGGCTATGCAGGTGAGAAGAAACATTTGAAAAGTTGGTAAGACACAAAGAATTTGATGCCATGTCAAGAAGGAGTTGCAGATGTCAAAGCATCATAGAGGCCTGAGACAGTGACTCCTCTTTCTCTCCTGAAGGGGCCTCCCTAGAGGAAGCTGAGTGAATGCCCTAGAGATGCTCCTTTGTTCTAGAAAGCCTTTGTACACCCTGAGCCTAGTTAGTATCTACCTCGTCATCAGGTCTTGGTCAAAGCGGGGGTGGTATCCTGGAAATAGCCTTGGAGACCATTGTGGGCCCGGCCACAGGCCTTCCTGGATACAAGAAAGGACCCTATACCTCAGGGACCATTCATTAGGGCCCAGGCCCCATCCCTGAATTGTTCATACTCCTTCAAGGGGCTTCCTGTTGCTGCTTCACTTTGGTACTTCCTTGGCCATGTTGGCCTGGTTGAAAGCTAGAGTCCTGGGGTCATTGTTTGGCTCCTGGAAAATCTCAAGGAGAGGAATTTCCCACAGGACATTGGACAAAGGAAGGGAGGTCACACAGTGCAGGATGGGGAAGGTTGGACTTGGGCCCAGGGAGCCCTGCTACTCCCTTCTACGTGCCTGGGCTACAAGCGTACTTAGGGAGTAGAGGGAGTCTTATCTTCCCTGTGGCCCATGGGAGAGACACCAGTTTAGAGCCTGAAGCGTTTAGAAATATTGGGGCCAGATAAAAATAAGGAATTCTCTAGGTCCTCAACAGAGACTGGAAACTCCCACAAGGGGACCAGCTGTGTGTCTGAGTGTCTGTGTCTGTGTGTCTGCAGTGAGGAGGACAGGGGCTGTGTTGGGGTCTTGTCAGGTCCAAGTAGTGTTTGAGCATATCTCAAAGCCTGCCAGTTGAAACACTGAGCCTAGAGGAACTGTCTCAGGTAGGCATCATCTGGCTGCTTTTTTGGGGCAGATAATGCCCTGGGAAATGGGGATGGAAGGAGAAAGGGAAGAGGCTATTCTAGAAACTGGGACAGCATTTGAGATGGGATTAGGAGGACCAAGCTCAGGATACCCGTTAGTCCCCAACAGGTGCCTGTTGAGAGAGAGCTGGTCTAGCAGACAGTCTGGTTGTGTGACCTTGGGAACCCTCATATGGAATCCAAGGTTCTTTTCAGATCTAAGATTTTACAGAAATTAAAATATCCCTTAAGACTAAATGCAACGTGAATCCTGGATTGGCTTCGGGAACAAAAGAAGGACATCAGTGGAAAAACCCAAGAAACCCAAATGAAGTCTGTAGTTGAGTAATAGGAGCACACTGGTGTCAATTGCTTAGTTGTGACAAATTCACTCCGGTTATGTAAGGTTTTCAGCTGGGGAAACTGGGAGATGGCTAGGCAAGGAAGGACTATTACCATCACTGCAATTTTTTGAAAATCTAAAATTATTCCTAAAATAAACAATTAATGTTAATATATCCCCTAGGTACTTTGGAGGCAGGCAAGTTGTAAGAAAGAAAAAAAAAAGCCAGAGGTGTGGTTCTGACCCATCTGGCTTCCAATTTGTTCCCTGCTGTTCACCATCTGTGTGACCTTGAGCAAATAGTAGCTTTTCTCCACCTCCTTCCCTTATCTGCAGAATAAGGGAGATAACGCCTACCTCAAAGGGCAGAGGAGGGAAGGGGTAACCAAGGTAATGTGAGGCTCCGAGCCTGACTTGCTTTTTAATTTTGCAGCCTCCAACAAGCCTTTGGCATATTGGGGGCACTCACTGAGGGGATGGCCTTTTGGGATCTGCCTTGGAAACTTCCAGGCTGCCTTTGGGTTCTATGTTCCTTCTCACTCAGATGTCCTCACCCCACCCTACCCCAGTTCTGAGTCACTGACCTGAGCCATGATGCCTAAACCCTCCCCACCAGTGTCTTTTCCTGGCAGCCCAGCCTTGAAGAAGGCTCTCTGGCTGAGGTGGGCTCCTGTCTATTGACCCCTCCTCTGCTCACTACCCATAGACAGGGGCACCATTCATAAAGTGGTGGAATCCGGGGACCAGGAACACAGCTTTGTCTTCAACATCATGGAGATCCAGCCCTTCCATCGTGCAGCTGCCATCCAGGCCATATCATTGGATGCTGACCGGGTGAGCTGTCCCACCCTACTCTGCACCCTTGGGACCATCCAGACAGCTGGCAGGGGAGAGGGTTACTCTCTTTGCAGTTTGCATGTCCTTTCAAGGATCTCCAAGGCAGCAGAATCCCTTTTCTAAGGGCTGGGAACTCAGTGGAGGGCTCTGGCCTGACCCTGCCTTGCTCTCTCTCCAGCGGAAGCTGTATGTGAGCTCCCAGTGGGAAGTGAGCCAGGTACCCCTGGACATGTGTGAGGTCTACAGCGGGGGCTGCCATGGCTGCCTCATGTCCAGAGATCCCTACTGCGGCTGGGACCAGGACCACTGCGTGTCTATATACAGTTCCCAACGGTACATTGGACAAATCCCTTTGCCCCAAGGAAAGGCAGACCTGGGAGTGGGGAGGCTTTGAAGGGCGCAGGAGGATCATTCTGGGTTCACATGAGGATAAGTGGGGTGCTGCACCGCAGCCTCCAGTCTGCTGACGTTTGCTCCTCCTACTTCTAGGTCAGTTCTGCAGTCTATTAACCCAGATGAGCCACACAAAGAGTGCCCCAACCCTAAACCAGGTATCTCCTTGAATTCTTCCCTTGGGCCCCAGGCTGATGAAGGAAGCACAGCTGTGCCTCAGTTACCTTGATCTGCAAAAGGCATGGCCTTGACCTGAGGCCCTGGACCATATCCTGCTGAGGGAACTCCGGTGATATGGGGGGTTATGAGAAAGGTGGGAATGTGGGGGGGTGCAAGAAAAAAACTGTAAGTGGGGATCCACCCCCCTCTCCACCATGTTCCTTCAGAAGCCTTGCTCTAGAAGCCTCGTCTGCAGAACTCAGAGGTTCCCAAGGTGCCCTTAAGCCCTCCTCATGCCTATTTCCCCTATTTCCACAGATGGTGCTCCACTGCAGAAAGTTTCCCTGGCCCGAAACTCTCGATACTACCTGACCTGCCCCATGGAGTCCCGCCATGCCACCTACTTATGGCGCCACGAGGAGAATGTGGAACAGAGCTGTGAGCCAGGACATCAAAGTCCTAGCTGCATCCTTTTCATTGAGAACCTCACAGCCCGTCAGTATGGCCACTACCGCTGCGAGGCCCAAGAGGGCTCCTACCTCCGTGAGGCCCAGCACTGGGAGCTGCTGCCTGAGGACAGAGCCCTTGCTGAACAGCTAATGGGTCGTGCTAGAGCCATGGCGGCCTCCTTCTGGCTGGGAATCCTGCCCACACTCATACTTGGTCTGCTGGTTCACTAGGGCTTCTAGGAGCTTGGTGTACCCCAGGCTTCTGTAGCCCAGAAGTACTAGAAAAATGTCACACTCACAGCCGGCTGGCCCGGGGGCTCCTTGTCCATTGATTCTTCCAGGGGTACTAAACAATCCAGAGGGGGACAAAGGGCCTGGAGATGTCCAGCCGCAGGCGGCTGCGGGGGCCCAGATGGGGTGGGGGCAGTGAGGGACTGCAGAATGAAGGCACCGACTGTGAAGCTGGGCCATCAGTGACCCAAGACTTTATCTCCTCCAGAATATTTTTCGAAATCTCCTCACACTTGACTTCAGGCAGTGATGCATCTGGCCTGAGAGCTCAACAGCCTGGCAGTGGGCTTTGGGAAGGAAGCTGGGACCCCATCTCTGGACCTTGGGGCTGAGGCACGAGTCCTTTGGGACCGCTGTGCCCACCTGCTTCCCTCCCTGCCCCACTGCTGGGTAGCCAATGTTCCTGCACACCCAGGCTGCTCCTCTGCACCTCCCTCACAGCCTGGGTCCCACCGGACAGCGCCTTGCATGTTTATTGAAGGATGTTTGCTTTCCGGACGGAAGGACGGAAAAAGCTCTATTTTTATGTTAGGCTTATTTCATGTATAGCTACTTCTGACTGCATCTGTATGAAATACCAAAACTACATGCTGGGGGGCGGGTAGAGGGAGGGCTTGGGAAGGGGGGGTGGGGGCTGATCCCAGGCTGGGACTCCCTGGGATGGGATCGGAGTCCAGGGACGGGCATGGGTTTGAAGAGAGTGGCACGAGCTGGCTCTGCCCTGAGAGCCCAGTCTGAGGGTATGAGCCTCCAGTGTGGGGTGGCAATGGGAGGGGTGGGTGAGGGAGACAGGGGAGAGCGAAGAAGAAAACTGAGCCCTAGGTAGATTTGCCGTGGTCATTTTGAAGGAGGAGCCGGGTCCACAGGGGGAGGTTCCAGGACTCTGCCCTTGGCATTGGGGGTTGGGGGGCAGGGGGAGACCTCTCCCTTCCCTTCAGCCCCCTTCCCCAGAGGCTGTGCTTCCGTGTTCCTAGCCTCCCACCTTCAGCTCAGGACATGTCCTAACTTAGGCTAAACTGTGAAAATTCCCGTGGAGATGGCCCAGGCCGAGCTCTCCAAGTGGGCCTCCCTGTCCCCAGCCCATGGGTTTCAGCAGAGAGCTGACCCTTCTCCAGCTGTGTCTGGGGCAGGGCCTGGAGCCGGGGGCCTTCCAGCTTCCGTCCCTTATCTCTTCTCAATGCACTTTAATAATGTAACATATTACTAATAAACAAGCTATTTATTTACCTGTGCCTACTCCCTCTCTTCCATGCAAGTGGTGCTGAGTAGGACTGGCCTCCTGTTTGTCCCTTGGTACCTTCTTGGTACCTCTGTGGGAACATCCCTGTCTCAGATTTCCCTAGTGAGTCTGCTGTCAGGCAGACGCAGAGGACCTCGGTTATCGAGGAGCAGAAATGGGGGATGTGAACTTGCAACTGCTCAGCAAACCTTGAGCCTGCAGCCCTTCCCTCCCAAACATAGCTCAAACCCCTTACCTTTCGAGTTTCTGCTTCCACTGGGAGACCTGGCCAGCATCATTCTAGAGGAAGCTACCAGGCCTCACTATCTTCAAAAGGCCCATTTGAGAGGTGAAACTGACCAATGAGTACCCTTAGGATATGATAGAAGGGTGTGTGCAAGGGGCTGGTGGTGTCAGGATAGGACCAAAGAATGGTTGTTTGCTCTTAGGCTGTTAGGAAAAGAGAGGGGGATGCATGCCATTCTGTCTCTGTGTTGAGAATCCGGTTAGAGAAAGGGCTGGAGCAGAGACAGAGGGGATGAGGAGACTGCTTGGTAGATGGAGGTCAGGACTAAGGACAGTGGCTATGGGATGAATGTGGGCATAATACCTGGCAGCTCAGAGAGGAACCCAGATCTTCCTCTGATGACCTTATGGCTTTCTGTGCCCCGTTAAAAATGTATTATTTTAGCCGGGTGGTGGTGGCACATGGCTTTAATACCAGCAATCATGAGGCAGAGGCAGGTGGATCTCAGGATCAGAGGCCAGCCTGATCTACAAAGCAAGTTACAGGAAAGCCAGAACTGTTACACAGAGAAACCTTGTTTTGAAAAACAACAATACCCCCCCAAGATTTATGTGTATGAGTGTTTGCATGTATGTCTGTGCACCATGTGCATGCCTGGTGCCTGCAGAGACCAGAAAGAGGGTGGAGTTATACTGGATAGTGGATAGTAATGAGCCACCATGTGAATGCTGGGGAATTGAACCTGGGTCCTTGAAGAGCAGACATTGCTTTTGACCACCAAGCCATCTCTCCACCCTCTCTGCCCCATTTTGTTTCTGTTTTTTTACCCACTGGGGGCAGGGAAGGCCTTTTGGAGTTTCTCAGGGGCTTTTCTGTTCGAGTAGTTACTGCTGGAGAGGGGTGTACAGCCAATTTGGGACAGTTTCTGTGAATCAGCCAAACTTACAGTGAGCTATGGGAGACTCCCCCACCACAGCCTTTTCTGTCCACGTGGGCCAGCCCATGGATGATGATTATCCTGATTTTTCTTCTACCCAGTCTTCCCAGGGTGGCCCAAGTGGTGGAAGTGGCTAGGACAATGGGTTTCTGGGTCTCCGAGGAATCCAGATCCGTGACTGGAGCAGAGTCCTCCACTGATGGTACCTGTTGGGGTCTGGGAAGAATTCTGCCCTCCAGAGCCTCATAGGGTTCAGTCCCAGTCTATTCTCCAATTTATAGCAGCAGCACCACAGCCTTCTCAGGAAGACCTTAGGTGAAGCGAAGGAATGGACTTTGGCCTCCAAGTGGGCAGAGCAACCAATGAAGAATACGAGTTTAATCTTGACCGCTCCTGGGCAATGGGTGACCTCTAGGGTGGTTGCTGCCTTCTCTGTACCTCAGCCACTCTCCTCTCTCCTTTGGGAATGCTCAAGTATCCAGATGTTCCTGTAGGAGGGACCTGAGTGACTGAGCATACGCTGTTGTCTCCACAAAGGAGAGATTCAGCCAGGCATGAAATGAGCCCATGTAGGCCCCATGAAAATGAGCCATCAGGGAGGAGGCATGTGGGGACAAGGCTCTTGTCTGTTTGCCCTGATGGGTGGTCAGCATCAGGGGCCTCAGTCTGGCAGTGGGTAGACAGGACTGTTAGGCTGGGCTCGGTGGGGGGCAAGCAGATCTGCCGCAAAGATGGCCACAGGAGACCCACGGTGCCAGGGTTGCTGTGGATGAAAGTGAGCCTCACCCTTTGGCCTCTGTCTTATGCATTGTCTCTTGGAAGCAAAGAAAGAGTAGTCTGTGAAGGACCAAAGGCCCACTCCTGGGGAGCTCAGCTGGAGATTTCCCTGCTTATTCCCCTGCCCCAGGCCCCTTTCATAAATCTGAAGGGCCACACAGACTGATCCGCCTATATATCCTACCATTCCTGGTCTCATAGGAGGGAATAGAGGCCTGTTTGTCTCCAAAAATCCCTTTAACAGTTCTATCTGCAGACTCGTGAGCCCTGAGACACCGTCACACCCTCTGATCCCACCTTTCTGTACTCCATCTACTAATGTTCCTGGAACTCCCCTGCCTCGGCACCTGTGATTTGTTTTCTTGGATGCCAGAAGGAGGATGCTTTCAGATAGACGTTTCCTGGTGACCCGAGATTCCCCAGAGGAGCCCTGGTCTCATCAGTCCTCAGCTTGCTTGCCCCAGAGCAAGCAAAGCAAGAGGAAATATTTGGAAGAATGTATATAGAAACAGGCCCCAAGGTCCCCAGGAGAAAAGGCACCTACCCTGGGGCCCCTCAAAGACTGGTAGGGGAGAAACTAGGGAATAGATGGTGGCCGTTGATGAGATGACCCTAGGCCGGAGGTGGGAGCCTATAGGTCACCCAATCTACCTGGCACATTTAGAGAAGGCTTTGAGTGGGGTGTTAGAGGATGCATAACTCTCCCACTCCCTCCAGCTGGAGAGTGGCAATGGAAGAGGAAAGAGCTGTTCCATCAAGGTGGGCGTAAGGGTAAATGGACTTGTGGGTCTGGCTGGAGTACAGTGAACTCCACAAAAGCAAGGAGCCTTACCAGTGCTGCCCACAGCTGTATCCCCAACACCTGGACCAGTGCCTAATTCCTGGTAGGTGCTACATACACTTTGATGTAAATAAGTAAAATGAAAGGAAGGAATGTTAGGAAGTGAGAGTGGACAGCTTCATCATGTGTCAGACCCTGGGAGCTGAGCCCCCAGATCTTTAACCTGCAGGTTCTAAGGCGTCACTGAAGGAGACAGTAGAGAGTGATGACAAGGATGCGTGGGGCCCAAGGCCTAGTTCGTTCTCACATCCGATCCGTACCTGTTTCAACCAAAGCACCACACTCTTCCTTTGGTGTTCAGAACTCCTTCCAAAGCCTAATTTTAGTCTGTCTTTTAGTCTGTCATTATCTAGCTGAAGGAGGATATGGAGCCATCCCCGATAGGGTGGGTGATCCCAGTGAGGGTGCCAGACAGGAGGTCTGTGGGTGTGGGCTGGTGGAAAGGGATTGAAACAGCTAAATCATCCCCAGGAAGCTCTTTTATGTTGGTGTTGGTTAGCTAGGGGAGGAAGAAACTTTGGGGAAAAAAAACCCCAAACATATTGTCAGGATCACCAGTGGCAGTGAGCCAGCCCTACAAAGGGAATGACACAGGACCACATCCTGGAGGCACTTGGTGCCAGAACTGCTGGCCTTGACCATGACAAGGGTTCTGCACTCAGGCAGCTGCTCCTGGTTAAGCATAGTGAATGGGCTTAGAGGGTTTAGAAGCGAATATACCCTCAAGGTTGGGCCTACATCACTTTGGACAGACACAGGCCTGTTACTTGGCCTAGTGATTGCCACTGCAGCTACAGATACCACAGATCAGCTGCGGCATTTCCTTCTCCTGATTCAAATGGGTGCTTTCCTCTACAACAGGATCACTGTGTCCTTTAAATGTGACTTATCTGATTTAAGATGTCCAGCAAGGGCAAAAGACACACTAGACTTCAAGAATCTAAATATAGAAAAAGCATTTATCTCAAATTGCTATGTAGACAACACATTACAATGATGGTTCCTTTTGTTGTTGCTGTGGTTGTTTTGTTTTTTGAGCTAGTGTCTCACTATGTAGCCCTGGCCTGGAACTCACTGTATGTACCAGTCTGGCCTCAGAGACCGCCTGCCCGTCTCCCAAGTACTGAGATTAAAGGCATGTGCCCCCACATCTGGCTATCTATTTTTAAATCCATTTTTTGTTTTGTTTATGTATACATATATACACCTCGGTGACTTTATGTATACTATGCGTGTGCAAATGCCCTCAGAAGCCAGAAAGTGTTGGATCCCCAGGAACTGGAATTAGAGCTGTTTGTGAGCTGCCTTCTGTGGGTACTGGGAGAGGATCCAGGTGCTATGAAAGAGCAGTCAGTGCTCTTAAATGCTGAGCCACCTCTCCAGCCCCCCATCTATTGTTTTCAGACAGGGCTACACTACATAACTCTGGTGGCCTGAAACTCACCATGTAGACCTTGAACTCATGGGGGATGGATCCTTCTGCTGCTGCCAGATTACAG